CCAGAGATTTATTATTTTTACTGTTGCAACCCCTAGAGTCAGATTTCTAACCTCATATATCATGTTATCTTCTAACCAACCATTTAAAGGTGCATTCGTAGCATCACAAGTATACTCATTCTATTCTTTCCCCTGGAAAACTGGCCATGTACATCTATTGGTGCTCTTACAATCTTTCCTTATACTCTGTTGGTGTTATTGTAATCTTCTTTTTCTTTCCTTTGTGCAGGTCTTCATAGCCATCTCTCTCATACTTGGGGATGGGCTTTACAATTTGATTAAGATAGTGTCAATCTCCGTAACGGAAATTTTTAGAAATAGCAGCATGGAGAATAATATTCCCTTGGTCATGGAGGTCATAGGTAGGTCTTAGTTGACCAAGTATTTGGTTTTTAAGTACTGAGAGAAACTCTGCGTATTGGACTGAGCACCAAATTGATAAAATTACAAATTGCTACATTAAAACTCCAAATTGCTAACTGTTACTTTTATCAAAAAAAAAAAAAACAAACTCCAAATTGCTAAACAGATGGTTTCTCTTTCTGCTTGGTTATAATGTCAATGCAATTGCGGATCAATGATCAAGCAGCGGAAAACGTTGTTGGTCAACTTTTGCATTGACTTATTCCTCGTTTCTGCAATTGCTTTGTGAACCAATTAATCAGTCAGAAAGTACTCTGTTACTGCACTATTGGAAGGGCGGAATGGAAATATGAAATTATAATAATCTTTCAGTTGACGTGCACTTTTTGGTGTTCACTTTAAAATGGACTTGAGAGATTACTACTTTATGTCATAGATGATGTTTCTTGATTTTGTCTTTTCATATTTTTACAGGTGGTGAGAGTTCCAGACTAGAATTGGAAAAGAAGAAGCGCGACGAAGTTTTCCTGAAAGATAGGATACCATTCTGGTTTGCTGGATCTGGATATGTTGCCCTGGCTGCAATATCTACAGCCACAATGCCAATTATCTTTCCTCCTCTGAAGTGGTATTTGGTCCTTTGCTCATACTTAATTGCCCCTGCCCTTGCTTTCTGCAACTCCTATGGTACAGGACTTACAGACTGGAGCTTGGCTTCAACTTATGGTAAGATTGGTCTCTTTATTATTGCGTCACTGGTTGGAAGCAATGGCGGGGTCGTTGCAGGCTTGGCAGCATGTGGAGTTATGATGTCGATAGTCTCCACTGCTGCTGATTTAATGCAAGACTTCAAAACAGGGTATCTTACACTTTCATCAGCTAAATCGATGTTTGTGAGTCAGTTGGTGGGAACAGCCATGGGTTGCATTATTGCGCCCCTCACATTCTGGATGTATTGGAATGCTTTTGACATTGGATCTCCTGAAAGTCCATACAAAGCACCATATGCTGTTATTTACCGAGAGATGGCCATTCTGGGGATTGAGGGATTCTCCGAACTTCCAAAGCATTGTCTTGCATTGTGTTGTGGGTTCTTTGTGGCAGCACTGGCCATTAACCTCTTGAAGGATGTCACTCCAGCAAAAGTTTCCCAATTCATTCCAATTCCAATGGCGATGGCTGTACCATTCTATATTGGGGCCTACTTTGCAATTGACATGTTTGTTGGCACAGTGATATTATTTGTATGGGAGAAGATAAATAAGAAGGATGCAGACGATTTTGCAGGTGCGGTTGCATCTGGGTTGATATGTGGCGATGGGATTTGGACCATACCATCAGCTATACTCTCTATCTTCAGGATTAACCCGCCAATCTGCATGTACTTTGGGCCTTCTGTGCGCACCTGAACAAGTGTATTTGCAATTTTTTATTTACTCTTCGTCAGGAAAAAACTCTCAGATTGTAAATTATCTGTTGTCCAAGTATTGCTTCAGTCTTCTGTACCTGTAAATGTGTACCCGATGTTTAACTTGGAAGTTTCACACATGAAAATGAAATCTTACTAGTGTACTTTTAAAAGAAAATGTGCATGCATATATAGCAGCTATAGTTACCTAGTTAATTTTGGAAATGACTGGCCACTTTCAAGCATTTGACATTGCTACTGTGTTTCCTAGTTTTGGAAAAATACTGCAACCAGGACAACTGCCAACACCCAAAGATAGCTGTTAGATCTGTAAGTTTTATTCTCCTCCACACTTTTTACTTATTTTGGAAGGCTTTAAAGAAAATGAACACATGACATTATGTAATTCCAATAAACTTGATAGTATGTTGGAAGGTCTGCCCTTGAAAATGAGGCTTTCTGAAGCAAAAATTAGTGAATTTGATTGCAGAACTTTGTTTAATTACTTGTTTTTGTTAAAGGTCATGTCTAAACTTGGAAATATTGATGCAAGCTGTCTCTCTTTCTAATAATTCTAAATAAGAAATTAGAGTGCATGTGAGTGATTTGGTGTATCCTATACTTGAAGTTTACCCTCAATAATTAGATTTGAATCCCAAGTAAAATTTTGTTGATATCTAATGAACAAGTTGGGTCAGGAAAGAAATTGTAAACATTGCGGCAGGCAGCCTGAGACGTATTTGAGAGAGGTTACCTTTGATAAAGAATTTCCCTCCACTTTTTGGAAAGGTCACCATATTTATAATTGATGTTGAAAAAATAAAACCGAGATTCCATCCATCATTAATGAATTTAAAATTTGAAGTATAGAGTTGTGGCATCTCTAGATTCAAGGCAAGTCCTTTTCTTTGTTGCCGTCTATACTTCTCAACACAATATATTACTCCTATAATTGCGTTGAAGAGCATTTCCAGAAGAGAAAGACCGGCCTCTTTGGCTATAGGGAAATTGACGTCACATATAATGTATTCAAGTCAATCAGTACCAGAACTTTAAAATTATGCATAAACACTATTGTCTTAAATGTTTTATTAATTGTAATATTATCATAATCACTTTCTACACACCAAATGTGGTTAATCGTTTGGACCAATAAACAAAGTAATACTCAATGTTTTGCCACCAATTTATAACTCTTTTTTGTTAGGAAATGTAACCAGCTATAGTTGTGTCACTTTAAGAAAGACATTTCACTTATTTCTGGATTCAAGCATATTAGTTTCAATTTTCTATGTATCATCATGCAATGCACGTTAGGACTCAACTAGTATAGAGAAATATAGCGTAACGTATTGACCAACTGGTGTTATTATTTAATATCACGGACCAATTAATCAATGGAGTTGCTTGGATTTCAAATTAGTTGTAATAAGAAGTAGGTAATGGAAAGTAATTAATTGTATTTTTTGAACGAGGACCTAAATGAGCCATTTCAAATAATCTTTTCCCATTTGTTAAAAAGCAGCTCCTCTCTAAAACCGAAATTGGACTTAAACAAAAACTATAGCAGCAAAGTTTTATGGGAATTTGATTGTTTGCTTTCCAGCTTGGTTGTTGTTTGATGTACTTTCAAACAAATACGCAGTCAGGATTCCAATTTTGTAGATTATGATTTTGAAGTGATATATTTCAAGCGCTAATAATTGAATTTAAAATCTACTAGTATATGTGTGTATATTTAATGACTTTTAAAATATAAATATGTCATTTAAGCAAAAATAACTGAGTTCCTTTTGTCAAAATTCCACACGGTTTTTATTGGAAAAGAATACTGCTACAGTAAATGGAAGTATTGGTAATTATCCTCCTGTAATGATTTTGCGATGTCATCTTCTTCTATAATTAAAAAAAGGGAATGGGTTTCATTTTCTTTAATAGTACTAGTACTAGTATAATTGTGTAACAAGAAAACAACTTTGAATAGTTTATTGAATTAACTAACATTGGGTAAACACATTTGTTCATAGAGGAGGTATCAAACGTCTCGAGCCACCCACCGCACAGCAATATCAATATCAATACCAATAACATCAGCAACATGGAGATCAAAGACTTGCAGATTGAAATTGCTGAAAAGGATGAAGCTAAGAAGCATCAATTGGCTCCTAAAAGAAAATCCAATAAAGATAGGCATACTAAAGTTGAAGGCAGAGGAAGGAGGATTCGCATGCCTGCACTCTGTGCTGCTAGGATTTTCCAACTCACACGCGAATTGGGTCATAAATCTGATGGAGAGACGATCCAGTGGCTATTACAGCAAGCGGAGCCCTCCATAATTGCTGCAACAGGCAATGGAACAATTCCGGCATCGGCTTTAGCCGCAGCTGGACCCTCTGTTTCGCAACAGGGAATCTCTGTTTCCGCTGGTTTGCAGCAAAACATGGATGGAAGTATTAGTAATAGTAGTAGTAGGACCAGTTGGCCTATGGCCCAGTTGGCCACAACAGGGATATGGCCCCCATCTGCTCCTGACGTCACTAATTTTGGCCACAATTTGGGAACTGAAAGTCTGCAAAAGATTAGTTTCCCTGTATTTGACCTCCCCTCCACCAATTTGAGTTTTACATCTATGTTGGGTGCCACTAACCTACCTGGGTTGGAGCTCGGATTATCACAAGATGCTCATATGAATTCTCAGTCTTTGAATCAGATTTACCAGCAGATGGGGCATTCAAGAATGCACCAGCAGCAACAACCTTCTCCCGAGGATGATAATTCTCAAGGATCAGGACAGTAGAGCTTTCATATAATACTGATTTTGGGGTACATAAAGTGAAATTGGTGTTTTCTAAGCTAGGGTTTATTTTTAGGAAATAGTTTAGCAGTTCATTTTGACCTTTATATCCTAGCGGAGTGCTTATATCTTCGTTTGTTGAAATAAACATAGAAATCATATATCCAGAAGCAATTTTCTCTCTTGTGTAACACATAGATTCAGTGCAAGACGCTGAATTCTGAACGCCTAAGCAGAGCCTAATTTTTGTTAGGCTAATTCAACATGAACCTAGAAATGAATTCAGACCCTCGATATAGGTATAGCTCTACCGATGGGTGACTAGAAAGTCCGTGTATGTTTCTACATAGATATTTGTATACCGGTAAGAAACTAGGAGGGGGAACTCATGGCATCACTTGCAGGTAAAATCATCAACTGAAGAGGTCTGAAACCTCCCAAGTCTAACTCTTTACTGTTGCTAGCTAAACTAGCTTTCTACAGAAGATCCAAGCTTCAATACGAAGTTCCATCCTCTATTCAGTTCAATGTTCTTGAAAAGTTGCTGCAGAATTGGAACTTCTACCTTCAGTGAAAAAGGTCAGGGCTTAATTCTTATTCAACACATCAGGCAGTTTGTCCATCAAAGTCAGCCTTTCACTTTTAACCCTTTGCTTCACAATGTTATTGAGAAATAATGCATTGTTTTTTTGACATATGGCATCAAGTGGTAAAAGAAAATTCTCCTGGTTGTTGACATTTTCGGTGTTTATAATGTTTATCTCTATATTACATCGTGTATTATACACGGAGTATGTTGTTAGGAGTGTCTACACGCTTGACATGGGGTGCCAGATTTTTAGGTAGATTACTATCTTATGGAAGTTCGTGGCTCTATGCCATTTCACAGACATGTGCTTCTATGCTAATTAGGTTGGTGCAGGAGCAGTATGTAGAAGAGAACAATTTCATTGTCTTGGAAGGGGCTAAAGGATTACCTAAGAGTAATAAGGAATGGTACAACTTTAAGTTGAAAGGGGAAAAAGGATTACCTAAAAGTAATAAAGAATGGTACAGCTTTAAGTTGCTATCCCGCATTAGCAGTTTATCTTCTGTAGAAGAAAAGCACTTGGAGTAGCCCTAATTTGTTGTTATTCTAACAATAGGAGTAATTGAGTAGAGGAAGGTATGTAAAATCAAGCGCGAGACAGTATGCTGCAACCATACTTTCATTGGCCTTTCATAAATATGAAGAGGCTTTTTACCATTCTAATGGTGAAATAGTCTACGTCCTTGTCAGATTCTTATGCATTCTTTGCTTCTAATAGATTCAGAAGCTGGTGTAAATATAGAAAAATATTATTCTTTTGTTCATCTTTTAATCACCTTATCACACACTGTAAACTCTGTACTGTGATAAATTTGGCAAGGTGTTGATATATTTAGGTTAAGGGATGATATGTTTATAGATTTTTAACACATTGAGGAATCAAAGAAAAGAGTTGTCATTTCATCATTTGTTCAGTCATGATTGTGACGACGTCTGATGCCTTACTACATGATTACTGTCAGGTGCATTTCTATTGCAGTTGCGATATCAAGGATGAGAGAGTGCTGGTCCTAGTAGCTTCCGGGATGACAGAAAAAAGATGTAAAAATTTCTAGTGTTACTTATGGATGATGCCTTTTATAAGTGTGGCAAAACTTTACTGTCATCTCTGGCCTTGTTCCGGTTGAAAGGTACTTTGTAGTCATTAGTGTTGAAGACTCAAAATTAACCTTTGCCCTTTAATATGCTCAGATTTTGCAAATATACATCAAGGGGCTCGCTGTATAAACATGGTATACATATGTGCATATGCAGATAAAGACTACAGTTTTCAGTCTGAAAAAGCTGTAATGTAGGATATGTAAGGAAGTATGATCAACAGTAGAATCAATTGACATGACAAAGATCATGTCAATAGTACTTGCAAGATATTCAAATCTGTAAAGGCATGAAAGGAAGAGGCTGTCATTCAATGAATTTTTATATGAAGTACTCCCTCCGTTCCATTTTATATGATGTACTTTGCTTTGACACAAATTTTAAGAAAAATGGAAAGACTTTTAAAATTTGTGATCCAAAATGAATGATAGAAATTTGTGTGGTTGTAAATCATTTCATTAAGGGTAAAAAAGACATTTTATAGGCAAATTGTTACTTAAAATAGAAATGTGTCATTCTTTTTGGGACTGACTAAAAAGGAAAGTAAGTCATATAAATTGGGACAGAGGGAGTAGTAAACACAAGATTCTTGATATATAGTACTATTAGTTACAATTGAATCATTTCCTTTTTTATTTTGTTTGTCTTTTAGATGGAGCTAAGAGTTTTTCAGATGTTAATGTGGCCACTAACTATTTCCTAGTGTTGCTTGTTCTGAGGAATTACCAACTAGAGCATTTCATTCTATCCTCTTTTTCTGCTTCCACTTTTTAAAAATTAAAAAAAAACAAATCTTTTACTTGGAAGGTTTAAGGACCGCAAAGACAAAAGCAAAATGAAAAGGATAAGAATAAGGGTGTGTTCGCCCGCACGTGTGGAGCGTGAGATATTTTCTAATCTTCTTATGTTTGATCAATTAAAATATTATGAAATTTTCTTCTACTAAAAACAAGTTTCTTAAAAATTAAGAATGTAACTTCTCTAGCTACCCCCACCACTCCAGCCAATCCACTTTCTCAACCTCACACGTATATAGTATTTGTTAAGATTATATATACACGTAATTATTAGTGAGACCAAAGGCGGAGCTAAGAGGTGCATAGGGTTCATTTGAATTCCTTTTTCTTGAAAATTACATTGTATATAAGATTAAGATTTTTTTTTATATATATAGTAGATATTGAATCTCCATAATATTTTTTGCTTGTGGTAGTTGGAGAAAATATACATGATGCCCAATCCTTTGGGAGCAACTTGGGAAAGGCATCAATTAGTGGTATAAATGCTCAATTGTTTGTGGTCCATGCTCTATCTTCATCCATATGGTTGCAATAAGTTGAATAGTCCAAACCAATTTGGCACCCCTTTATCCCCTCCTTGTTGGGCATTCGATAGAGACGGTATCTGCTACGTGGACAACTTGCTAAAATAATGTTCCTTTCCATATCTTTGGCAGAATCTCTGTATATATATAATTGATAATTAGGAATAAAATATGAAACTCCAATATTATCTGATTGGAGCGATTCACAAAACATCAACGTGGACGTTCTTAAATCAACGCATGATTAGTGATTATGTTATCTTCTTCTCTTCTTCTTTTTGGGTAACATATGACTTCAAAAGTAGACATCAAATGTCGATATTGATAAATGATAGAGTCCAATTTTATCACTCTTAACTATAAGTAGTTAAATCAGTGAAACCATCAATACCTATCACACACGGTCATGTCAATGTATTTGTTGGATTTTTGGGGTTTAAAATGGAGAATACATGTATTATGTATTTATGTTATTTTGTATTTGTATGAATGAACACATGAAAAATTACAAGATATGAAAAACAAGTCGTATCAGAAATAAGATTAGGAGGAAAGTTGAAAATTGGAGGGCTAGAGTAGAGTATGAAGATGATTTAGGGTTGGCCATATAAATCCATTCACCGCCCAACTTGTTTTACATTTTGGACTTTCAAGAACATGGTCGTGGGCCACGCCCAAACATTTGTAGGAAAATGGCCAAATTCGTTCCTTTGGCATCTCCAACCCAAATACCAAATTTTACACAACATTATTTTTGGTGTAATCAACTTCAATCCATTGCACCAATTTTTATACCAAAAAGAAATTTTTCTCTCTCTTCATTATTATATTATTTTCTTATTTCATAAAATAAATTCTTTCTAAAACATTCACCATATATAATTCATGGTGAATATCAATTACTACTTTGTTAAATGTTTATTATTTTCGGTTATTTTTAAGTACATTGTATTATTTGTTTAAAAATTTATATGTTTGCATTTTTTATTTTTGTGAAGGTTAATTGTAGTTATATCCAATTATTTTTAATAAAAGGCTTAATGCCCAACTTTTATATATATATATATATCCAATTATAATTTATAGTAGAATTAACATAAAATTTAATTTTTAAAAAAAAAGTACATATATAGAAAATTAATTTATAAAAAGACTAAATTTTATATCTAAAATTAATATTATAAAAATATTACATAAAAAATAATTAAATATACAAGAGATTTAATTAAAACATACAATTTATATAATGTTTAATTAAAAGTTTATATAATAAAATAATATTAAAATATTCAAAAAAGTGAATTGGTGTGATGAATAGTGTTACACCAAATTTGGTGTGGGTTGAAGCTCAAAAACACCAAATTTTACACCAAATAAGGATTTGGTGTTGGGTTGGAGATGGTCTGCTAAAAAAAAAAAGATAATTATGCAAGATTTAGTTATTTACCAAGTATTTCATCTTTTATCTTATCTAAAATAATATATAAATTGACTTATAACTTATTGATATTATAATCATGGATGATTGTAATTTGATTATAATGTGTTAAATTTTATATAAAATAATATCAAATGTAATACTAATTTTAATACATGAAATTGATTTCCTAACCAACCCTTAGGATTGTAACTCGAATCAGACGAAATTAGTCAAAATAATTCTACTAAAGGGCATAAATCGACATCACACTTTGAGATAACCTACAAGTCTCTATAGAGTTTTGTTTAAAATACAAAAAATATTTTAGCAGTCAACCTTGGAATATGTCAATTAAATCCGTCATCTCCTCCCACTTGGTTTTCCGAGGGCTAGTACCCCTTCGTTCCACTCTAATGGTCATGTTTACTTTAAAAAAGAATCATTATTAGATTTAACAAATATGACTATTAAATTGAGATACAAATAAATAGGAATAATTTAGTAGTTAGTGTGAATAGTGGTGCGGCGTGTTGTTTTTTTGATACGATAATAAAATTGGAAATATGGATGCCTTTTCCACTCATTAAAGCGTCACTTTACTCGTCTTCAGCTTTTGCCTTTCTTCCACAGACATTGGAGACTCATTCTACTTTTAACCCTTACTTCTCTCCTCCCATATCTTCTTCTTCATTCATCCTACTATTCTTCTTTCCAAATTGAGAGACATGGATGACGAGTATGCTAAGCTTATCAGGAGGATGAATCCTCCCAGGTACTTTGATTAATTTCTTTCTTCTCTTGTGTCCTTACAACTCACTAGTTTTGGTTGCTTCTTCTTCTTGTCAAGTTCTATCTTCCCCTGTCCCTGAATTGATTTTGGACTCGAAAACTTATCAAGTTGGGCATATTTTGACAAGAAAGATCCTCTTTTTTCTTTAACCCTTGTTTTCTTGTTTCTTCTTACAGAGTGGTGATTGACAATGACTCTTGTGAGAATGCAACCATTATCCAGGTATACCCCCCCTGCCCATGCCCGTCTTATCCCCTTTTTTCTGTATCAAGTCTAGCCATCCAGTTCATGTTAAAGATGACACTTTCTGTGCCCTAAGACCTCAACCTTGTGCAGGTTGACAGTGTCAACAAGCATGGGATTCTTCTTCAAGTTGTGCAGGTTCTGACGGATTTAAACCTTGTTATCACGAAAGCATACATTTCCTCTGATGGGGGATGGTTTATGGACGGTAAGTTCTTATTATTTACTCAAGACCAAGAAATTCCATACTTACCACTAATTATTCTCTTTTTTATTTCTTCAGTGTTTAATGTGACTGATCAAGATGGAAATAAAGTTAGAGATGAAGAAATCATCAGCTATATCCAAAAGGTATTTCATATTAAGGGTCGACAATTTTCATTGCAGTATAGTATTATGGTCTATCAGCTAAGCAATCTTTAATATTTTAGGGGTTGTTTGGTATGGGAATGGGATAGACAAAGGTAGTCCATGGATTGGGACTGAATATGGTGTATTATTAATGCTAAGATAAGTTATGCTAGGATTATTTCTTATCTTTGGTGTATTAAGGGCAGTTTTGTCTTTAACCATACTTATCCATGTATTAATAACCCTTGTTAATACCTATGTATTTGCTATACACCCTATAATATTGAATATGATGTATTACTAATACATGTGTTAGTTATACATAGGTTGAAAATCCTTCCAAACAAAAGATTAAATAATACCTTGATTAATACATGTATTATTTTCTCTAATACATCCTATTCAACGGCCTTTTCTTTTGCCCCCAACAAAATCAATAGGCTGTAGGCAAGAAAAATCCTATTTGCAAATGTGTACATTGATTTCTTTTTCCACACTTAGCTCAAAGATGTGCATGGATCCTAAATTCTTTCAGTTTCTTGTTACACAGACTCTTGAAAATGACGAGGTTCTGTTACCCTCTTTAAGGGGAACTGTTGGCTTGATGCCTTCTGAAGAGCACACGTCCATTGAACTTAGCGGGACAGACAGACCTGGCTTATTGTCTGAAGTGTGCGCTGTTCTTGCTGACCTTCACTGTAATGTGGTGAACGCTGCAATCTGGACACATAATGCTAGGGCTGCAGCTGTGGTTCATGTTGTGGACGACATTACAGATTGTGCAATTGAAGACCCAAAACGCCTTGCTACAATCAAGAAACTTCTTCGTAACGTCCTCAAGGGTAACAATGATTTGAAGACTGCAAAGATGACACTTTCACCTCCTGGATTTACACACAGGGAGAGAAGATTACACCAGATAATGTTTGATGATAGGGACTATGTAAAAGTTAGAAAGACAGAACAGGGCAACATTGAGGATTTGAAGTCCGGGCCTTGTATAACTGTTTATTATTGCAGTGAAAAGGATTATACTGTGATCACTATGAGGTCAAGGGATCGACCTAAGCTGTTGTTTGATATTGTCTGCACTTTGACTGACATGCAGTATGTGGTCTTTCATGGAGTTGTTCACACAGGAAAGAACGAAGCTTATCAGGTAATGTTAATTTCTACGTGGACAGTACTTGATGGTTTTTCCACCGTGTACTGATTCAAGACAAGCTTAGTTCAATTTAAGTAGTGAATTAGTTTTGGTTTGTGATGGCATATTAGCTAACAGTCACTTCCTTTATCTCTACTGCTTTGTATGTCTAATGTCAATCTAAATCAATGGCCTGCTGCAGGAATTCTACATTCGACATGTTGATGGGCTTCCAATAAGCTCAGAGGCTGAGCGAGAACGTGTGATTCTGTGTCTTGAAGCAGCTATTGAGAGAAGAACCTCTGAGGTGAAGTGCTTTAGTCCGAGACAACAAGATTTTAGTTTCCAAAGCTTTCTCTAGCATGAGGCACTAATATATGTGCTAGCTTTCTGCAGGGTCTGGAGCTAGAATTGTGTACAGAAGATCGGCTAGGACTACTATCAGATATCACTAGGATATTCAGGGAAAATAGTTTGTGTATTAAAAGAGCAGAAATCTCAACACAAGGGGGGAAGGCAAAAGATATCTTTTATGTCACAGATGTGACTGGGAATCCAGTTGAGCAAAAGACAGTTGATTCAATTTGTGAGCAAGTTGGCCCAAATATGCTGCATGTTAAGTGGAATCCTTGTCATTCAGAAAAGCTACCTGAAGAAGGAACAATTAGCTACCTCTTTGGGAGTCTCTTCAAAGTTCGAACCCTCCAAAGTCTGAAGCTGATTGGATCCTACACTTGAGTGGTTCCCTGTAAGACTGGAAAACATTGTAGATATGTCAGATACACCACTCACAGTATGCGGATTTCAAGTAACAAAAATTGTAGATAGATATCCTACCCATTGGTGAAGAACTGTTTAGTTTTATGTAAATAGTAACCATTAGATAGTTAGACCATATAGTGGTGATTTAGTATCAAGAGATATAGAAGAGACTCTTAAAGCATCAGTAGTAGCAGATATTGCCAGGGGTTGTCTGTATATACATGGATGTGTGATATAAGTGGCATGTGCTCTGGACAGTGTTCACTATAAAAAGGAAGAACCAAACTGTATAATAGAATATCACTTGTACAAATATTTATTTTATACTGTAAAGAAAACAAAAGGTTTAGTGTGGGTTTAGATCAAAATGAAAAATTCCTCAGTCCCTTCCTTCTCCTAACGTTTCCTTTTTTCCGTATAGTCTGCGGTGCTAATGCATTCATCGCTACTAGCAGCATGCTCTTCTTAATTTTTTTTCCGATGAATTCAACTAAAACTTGGGAGTTGTTACGGCTTCCACTTCAGTACTCGCGCATGCAAGATTAACTCTCTTCTGCTTCTGTTATTGGTTCTACTTTGTAGCAGCATCCCAATATTTTTGAAGTAAAATTTACTTTACATACTTAAAAAGGTAAGTTGACAATTCAAAATATTTTAAAAAATTATGTTAAATAAAAATATGGTCCAAATAGTAGCTCTTTTTGGATAGAGGAAGTACTAACAATTTTATGATTATATGTAAAATAACTAGAGCAAGTAATGCTGGAATAGCTAGCCTAAGCCTACTATACTAGTACTACACAGAAAAGAGAGCGTATAAGATGATGAGGCGATCAGTGGGGGAGTTTGCAAGTGTAATAAGCCGAGCTCTCATTCACGCATCAAAGCAAAGAAGCCAAACATGGACGCCAGCACTAGAGCAGACGTTGTATCGCCTCGGATGCCGGGAATCACTCAGCCCGACACTCGTCGCCCGAGTCATCGACCCTTTTCTTGTCCACCACCATTCTCTTGCACTCGGTTTCTTCAACTGGGCCTCTCAGCAACCTGGATTCTCTCATGACTCCTCCACTTACCATTCAATTCTCAACTCTCTCTGCATCACTCGCCAGTTCAACACCCTTGATAAGCTCTTTAAACAGGTAAAAGCCCAGAAAATCCGTCTCTATCCTTCTCTATATCGCTCTGTCATTGCTTCCCACATCATTGCTAAGAAATCCAATTTAGCATTTTCCATTTTCACTGAGGTCCCTTCGTTCGCATCGGAGATTGGATCCCAAACTTGTAATTCACTTCTCGCTGCTTTATCGTCAGAAGGGAACTATAAATGTGCTTTTCAGGTGTTCGACGAAATGAATCACAGAGGTGTTCGCTTGAACACTCTTGGTTTTGGTGTGTTTCTGTGGAGATTCTGTGGATTTAATGGGTTGGAAAAGACTTTGAGTTTGTTAGATGAGGTTAGGAAGATTGACTTTTCGGGAATTAATGGATCCCTTCTGGCAGTTTTAGTCGTGCAGGGGTTATGTTCTCAGTCTAGGATAGCAGAAGCTGTCGCTGCTTTTGATGAATTGAGGATAAGGGAATGTAAACCTGATTTTATTGCTTATAGTATTGTTGCTGAAGCGTTGGGGAATATGCGAAATGTGGTTGACAAAGATTTGGTTTTGAAGAAGAAGAGAAAACTAGGGGTGGCACCAAGGAATAACAATTATAAAGAGTACATCTTTGATTTGATTTCGGAGAGGCTGATTTCCGAAGCTAAAGATTTGGGCAAAGTAATTGCGTCTGGTAACTTTCCTATGGATGACGATTTGCTCAATGCTTTGATAGGATCAGTTTCAGCCATTGATCCTATACTTGCCATCTTTTTCTTGAACTTCATGCTAGATAGAGAAAGGTCCCCTAATCTTGTTACTGTGACAAGTTTAAGTGCAAACCTTTGTAAGCATGGGAAGCTTGATGAATTGCTTGAACTTTTTCAAAAATTGTCTTCTAGAAACTATTTTACTGACACACATGGCTATAATATTATGGTTTCATTTTTGTGTAAGGCTGGCAAAGTGAGAGAAGCTTACGAAGTTCTCCGTGACATGAGAAGAAAAGGTGCAGTTCCTGATATACAATCTTACAATCTCCTGCTAGAAGCTTGCTGTAGAGAAGATCTACTGCGACCAGCAAAACGGTTGTGGGATGAGATGTTCACAAATGGGTGCCCTGGTAATTTAGAGACTTACAATATTCTTATTCAAAAGTGTTCAGAAGAAAGTGAAATTGAAGATGCTTGTAGGCTTTTCCATGACATGATTGAGAAAGGAGTAGTACCTGATGCTATTACATACACTTCAGTCCTTAAAGGGCTTTGTCAAGCAAAAGATCTCAAAATGTCTCTTGAAGTCTTCAGCAAATGTGCTACACAAGATCAAACCCTTGCACGTTCTGTCTTGTGTACATTCTTACTCAGCCTCTGCAAGGAAGGTATTACTTACTCCATATATGTGATAATGATGTTTTACTTGTGATTTATATTAACTGCAAATGTAGTTTTATATTGGGCTGAATATCTCTGTTTTACTAAGTTTTTTACCTTTTACAACTGCAGGTTATTTGGTTCCTGCAATGGAGTTACTCCGTGACCAAAGCACTGATACTGTATTTTTAGACTCCCATCTGATTTTTCTCAAATTTTTAGCTGATGCTGAAGAGATAAGTTTGGCTGTTGAATATTTGAAGTGGATTCAAGGCAAATCCCCTTTGATGCATCAAGCACTGAGCAATGAAATATTGGCATCAATATCATCTTCTTCAAAACCAGATCCAATTTTTAAGTTATTTCAAGTGATGCAGGAAAACCGTCTCACTTGTACTAATGAGTTGGGGAAAGAAATGGCTTACAGATGACATACCACATGCAGGAGACAACAGACATATTAACATACAATGAGATACAAAACCAACAACCATAATACATAGAGGATCTATTTTTTTCTTTTTTGGTCATACTTAACTAACTAGTTTTTACCTTTTTTTCCTATTTTGTGAAAGATAATAATTTTGAATTTACTCGTAAATTAGTACTGCATGCTTGATAGACCATTTTTTATTTGCTCAACATCTATTCGGGTCCTCTAAACCATTTACTAAATTGTCTCCACCGTTTATAAATCTTTCAGTGCTCAAAAGAATCAATTTCATGAAAGTGTCAGATGCTTAACTTATTTAGTATACCCCATATTTATTTTATTTTTAAAAAGTTATTTATTACGTGTCATTTTTTTATTGGGTGAAATAAAATCTCACTTTTGATTAGATTTTTTTTTATATATATATAATTTATCCTATATCTGAAATAATATATCAGCTCCATGACTTAATTTATATTTTTCAAAATATAAAAAACAGCCGCAAATATGATGCCAAAGACAAGTTTACTTCGGTGTAAATACACAAATACCGGCTACTGGTCTTTGGCATCAGTTTTTTCCGTCTATTAGATCTTTCCCAATAGTTAATAGGTATTTTTGGCTCTTTTTATAAGAAAAGAGGTAGAAAATGAAAAATTACGAAATTGGAGGACTCAAACGAAAAATGTTTTTAACTTCCGGTAACCGGAGCTAGTCCATGGCCATTACCAACTAAAAGCTTCGATCTTTCCTGATTCCGCAAGCAAAAAAAAATCTCAAAGTTTAAGAAAAGTGGAATCCATGATTGATCCAGCTGAGTAGCTACAAGATGGATAATCGAAACGTTGTCGTTTGCGACAACGGCACTGGGGTATTCTCTTTGTTCTCTCTTTTGAATTGGTGTTGTTTGAGTTTAGATTCGATGATAGAGGAAATTCATCTGAAGATTGCGCAATTGTCAAACGAAATTGATTTTATTAAGGTCTTAATACCTGAAATGTTACTTAATATATTAGAGAAAATGGGCATTAAGTTGAATGTGAGTATATATACTTCCACAGAAGCAGCTAAAGACTCCGCCAAGAGTAGAAATTTCTCAATTTCGATGATTAAATCACGATCTGCTAACTAGAGTTGATGTCTTTTTTTCTTTTTGAAGATTACACTATCCCTGTGGCAACAGATTTTTCATTTTTTTTTTTCTAAATTAAGTCTGTCAACTATGCATCAATCAGAAACTAATGGGGGTGTAGTACTCCTCTATATCTATTTTTCTAGTCGGACACATTTCGTTCCAGCAATTTAAAGTACAGTTTTCATTTATCAGAAGAAAAAAAGTTGGTGTATGTCTGGCATGATCACATTACTTCATTGAACTTGTACATATGCCGCTATACTGCTTTATATTTTGTATAATGTTGGTGTGAGATGAATTTGAATGGGGAAACATGGTCAGTGATTCATATTGCCGACCCGAACTGGTTTGGAGTTGAGGTGAAATTGTTGTAGCTACTTTTGGTTTTATATCTTTTTTGGAACTACTCATTCCTGGAAACCAAATCTCAGTAAGTCAGTTTTCCTTCACAAGATGCAAACTTTGAATTCAATTTCTGGTTATGAAGATCATCATCCTATCGACTCAAGCATGATGCTATTCCTTTCCTAGTGGAACCTGCTATTCAGTTTTATGAAGTGATAGACTGTTTTGTACCAAGTATTTGCTTTTTTTCCTTTATTTTTTTTTCTTGTTTAGCATTTCCTTTTGGGGCCAGTCATGGTGATATATTTTTTGAACTATTTTGATGTCTATATGGACAGTAAAATGGTGTGTCAATTCTCAATGTTTTCATGAACTAATGCAGTATGTCAAGTGTGGCTTTGCGGGTGAGAATTTTCCCACATCTGTATTTCCTTGTGTTGTGGGGAGGCCAATGCTAAGATATGAAGAGTCCCTTATGGAACAAGACTTGAAGGTAAATATCTCTCACTTTATGCTTACCCTACATTGAAAATGTGAGGGTTCTCTTGCATTTATCGAAAACTAGTAAGCTCTTCTTAGAGAAAGAAAATCTGGGTTGAAACTTCATTAGTTCAACAGTTGCTTGCTAAACTAGATGTTATAGCTACTTCTTGTGAAATGAAGTTTTAACTCTATTTTGTTTTCTGATACACCTCAGGATTTTTTGAGTTCTGCTTACGTAGTATACTCCTGCATTCTTTGTTTAAACTTATAGCTTGTAACTAGGACATAGGGAATCTTCCCATCATCACTTTTTTTCCTTATGTCCTCTTATGTACTTTGCTCTCTTTTATTCTTATATTATACCATTCTCTAATATATTTTGCTATCTAACCGTTGAGCTCCATAAGTGTACTCACAAACTTGTTGACGAATGTTTAACTCATTTACATTCTTCCTCTAGGATATTATTGTGGGAGATGAATGCTTGAAGTTGCGCCATCAGTTGGATTTATCTTATCCCGTCAACAATGGAATTGTACAAAACTGGGATGATATGGGGAGTGTGTGGGACCATGCATTTTTCAATGAACTGAAGGTAGATTTCTCTACTGCTAACTTCCCTGTGAAGATTTCTAATTGGTTTAAACTTTTGCTTGCTAATTTTTCTTTGGAATGCTTATTGTATGATAAGTTCATGGTTAACTGACAAGACTTTCCTTTCATTCCGCTGGTGAAGATAGATCCAACAGAATGCAAAATTCTGCTGACAGATCCACCTCTCAATCCATCTAAAAATCGTGAAATGATGGTTTGTGTTAATGTTTACTTTTTCGAGAAAAGCATTCCCTCTCTTTACTGCTTCAATGATTCTTAACTTATACTCAGATTTACTTGAATTACAGGTAGAAACCATGTTTGAGAAGTACAACTTTGCTGGTGTCTTCATCCAAATTCAAGCTGTTCTAACATTGTATGCTCAAGGTACCATTATACATGTATGAGTTCTTGGGGCATAATCATTTTCAATTATCTGCGAGAAGGACCTTCGATAGGAGTGTTTAGAGGTTGCGGATTTGGGTAGAAGGTTAGTTTGGTAGTTGAGCCTTCTCTCGCTTCCTGCGGGATAGGCTTGGTGGTCATCCTTGGACCTTCCTTCTTACCAGTAGTATTAGCACTATTCTCGTAGTTTCTTGTACTTTGATTTAGTTTGTGCTCAGATTATTGCATTATTTCATTGTCATTACTTTTCTTTCTGCAGTTTGTTGTGTAATGCTCTCCATTTCGCATTATTTCATTGTAGTTATGCTCTCATATTTATATCCCCTTTTTTCAAACTGTTTGGCATGCTTTATTTAAGATGAGGGTCTATCGGAAACAACCTCTCTACATCTATGGGTAAGGTTTGCATACACTCTACCCTCCTCAGAACCCACTTGGTGGGATTACACTGGGTATGTTGTTGTTTCGAGAAGGACCATCATAAGTTTTGATATTGCAAATTTCAGCGGGTATTTGTTACAAGGGTGGGATTAATTCGATATTTTGCTTCTACTTAGGCCCAATCTGGTGATGGATTTGCTCATTTTTGATGTTCCAAATATGCAGGTTTGTTGACTGGGCTTGTCATCGACTCAGGTGATGGAGTTACACATGTTGTAAGTTTTTCATAAGCATAGCTGTTTCATGATCTATAATTTGTCTCGGTTGAACATTGATTCAAAAGAGTAGGTTAATTCTTATACAGTTTGAGGTAATCAAACTAGGAGTTGCTACTCCCAAACCTAGAACTGTTTTCCTGCATAGTCCATTGGGCTCCCTGTCTAATAAGATTGCCCCTTCAAGCTGGTCATAAAGGCAGTGTTTTTTCAGCTATTTGTTCCTTTGGTGACACACGGTAATACTTGCTATGAACCGTGGGGATATTTTTTCTTCTGTATGTTATTCAGAAATATCTTGATGCAGGTTCCCGTTGTAGATGGATACTCATTTCCTCACCTCACGAAAAGAATGAATGTAGCTGGACGGCATATAACGTCTTATATGGTTGATCTGCTACTTCGGAGAGGGTAATTGCCAACACATACTTGAAATAAACTAAATAGGGTCATTCATGCTATATTTGATTATTTTAAACCATTACTGGAGTTTTGATGGTCAGTCAATATCTGAAGGTATGCAATGAATAGAAGTGCCGATTTTGAGACTGTCAGGGATATTAAAGAAAAGCTCTGCTATATTAGGTGAATTACTTGAGTCATAAATTAATCCCTTTACTACTTCTTCTGGCTAGTAATGGTATTTGCTTATCTGCAGTTATGATTACAAGAGAGAATATCAGTTGGGGCTTGAAACTACAATTCTTGTTAAGAATTATACTGTGAGTAGGCTCCATCCATAATAAGCTTTTAATTGGAAAAAACAAAGGCACTACTATTTTTTAAGCTTTTCTACTAACTTGAACTGGAATAAGGTATGATACTTTGCTCTTGGAAGTAAAGATCCTTTTTTCTCCCTTAAGAAACTTGGTCATTCTGTAACTCATTATTTCACTTGTTTTTCAACAGCTTCCAGATGGGAGGGTACTTAAAGTTGGCACAGAGAGGTTCCAGGCACCTGAGGCTCTTTTTACTCCAGTGAGCATGCATTCCCATTTTTATTTTCCTCTTTCACAAATCAAGAACATATCTTTTTCGTAAAAATGCACCGGATTTACTTTCCTCATAGTGGGGAAGATGAAAGGCAATTGATGTTTTCCCATAAAGCAAGCTAATCCTGCAAATCCCATATAACACCAGATGTCAATGTGACACGTGTTATCTAATACCATGACCATCTTTTGTCTTACAGCTTCTTAAATTTGGTAGTTCTTTTGCTGTTTAAATACTATTTTCACCTCTCAACTATTCAATAGGAAAGCAATAGAGTGTTATCTACAATCCAATTTGTTTCAGATTAAGTGTCAATTAAGTCCTTGTGAAAAATTGAAGCAAGAACACATTGTCTGAACTGCATGGTTTGAAATGCTATTATATGCTTCTCCAAACTTCTACTTTATGGGTTGATGTTTGTGAAAGGAAGCTAAATTTAAATATTATTCCACGCTTCTGGAAAATTCTAATTGATGGGTTGATGTATGTGCAAGGAAGCTAGATTTAAAATATTATTTGACGCTTCTCCAAAAATTTTAATTGATGGGTTGATGTATGTGGAAGGAAGCTAAGTGTCACTTTTTCTGTCCATTTCAGGATCTTATTGATGTTGAAGGTGATGGCATGGCTGACATGGTATTTCGCTGCATCCAGGAGATGGATATTGACAACAGGATGATGGTACTTCAACTTTGAAATTTCTTATGTATTCTTTGCCATAGTGTTGTCATTTGCAATCCATCATTTGTTTAATGTAATAATCATTACTTCAAATTTTCTCTTGCAGCTCTACCAGCATATTGTTTTGAGTGGTGGAAGTACCATGTATCCTGGCTTACCTAGTCGGTAACTTACTCAAAATACTCTTCCTTATTATAAAGCTTTGAGAACTTGGAGCTGAGTAGTGCAATTGTGCATGGTTGATTCTAAATGCTACATTATTGTCATACTCTTCTAGGAAGTTTTAACTGGTGTGACAGTTTGCTTTGAGTTTATGAACCAAAGTATATCCTTGATTTTATTTTTCTCAGGACTAATGTTTGATCAATCTGGCAGAGAATTTGAACTGTAAAGCTGTTATGTTATAACTTTGATAACACTCTTTTATTGTGCGAAGAACTCTAATTCATCTCCCTGTCGATTTTGAATTTTCTGATTCCCCTCTTGTGGCATCAAAATTTGCTAATTCCCTCCTCCTGGTAGCAGTCAGCTTTGGTATCTCTGACTGATGACTAATTCCTCATAGTTGTTCTATTTTTTGCCTGTTCATAAGTACCCTTCTGAAATTGTTAGTATCATAACTAACATGAAATGCATGAAGGCATATCTAAAAGTGCAAATTAACTTGAAATGTGTACTCATTTTCACTACATACTATTTTAACTCTCATCTTATTACGTATGATAAATTAGAATATGAAATTCTATTCGAGAGGGTAGGAGTATTGTTTAGAAATGTGCTATATTAGGAAAATTCAGGTATACACTTTAATGCATGAAGAATTCCTGTTAAGAATATCCGTGAGCTGTCATCAAGAAGGAATATCATCTCTTTGTGATTTATTCACTTGAACTTTACTTGTGCAGTTAACATATCCTTTGGTTTACTGTGGGAATATAAGGAACAAACTCTTTCTTACCCACCTCATGTCCACACTCATCATTTTCTTGTTTCCTTAAATAACAGTTATTTTCCCTTCTTTTCAAACATTGACAGCCTTGAGAAAGAAATTTTGGACCGCTATCTTGATGTTGTTCTGAAGGGGAACAAAGATGGTTTGAAGGTACTGTGTGACTCTTATTTGTTCTTTTCACGATTTCTTGAGGTTTTTGGTTTATGAATAAGGTTTATGCAACTAAGTAGCATTTATTCGAATAGTCTTACCCACAAACCACAATAAAATACCTCGAACTGGTACCTGCAGCTAATGGTGGTTTCTGCTCTATATGAGGTCAAGTCAATCAAGAGATGGAGATAAGAAAGTAGTTGGGAAAGGACGAGTAGGGTTTTGCATATCTAGGAAGTTGGATTGCATTGCCTACAATTGTTTTGTCTTTTATTATGCATTTCTTGGTTTTCTTAAAGTAGTTGAAATTTTCTCTATTTTATATGTTTTCTGCAATAGAAATTGCGCTTACGAATAGAAGATCCACCAAGAAGAAAGCATATGGTGTATCTCGGTGGTGCAGTTCTGGCCGGGATTATGAAGGTATGGTGGTATCTATTTCCTCTCTGTAGCCCCATCTCTGCTCCTTCCCAGATCATGCATATAAAAGAGTATTTATTCCCAGGAGAAATAAAAAGAAAGCCAATCTCTTAAGATACATCCGTTTCTAATCTGTGTACACTTCCCATAATTTTCTGGATTTGAATATTCTATTTCTGTCCTCCATTGAAGTGGTTGCGGCACATGTTGGATTGTACTGTTTTGATATGATTTAGGCCCGTGCAATCATCAGCTTCAGGCACAAGGAAATTTGTGTTTCACGTCAGTCCAATCCTTCTCTTTTTCTTGTACTTCCTCTGCAATTGATCAAATCATCTGTGTATGAGAGATGTTCCTGTGGCTGAATGCAACTTATAAAGTCGTTTGGTTGGTAACAAGTTATCCCAGGATTAGTTATCCTGCGATTAGCTATCCTGGCATAACTTATTCCACCATGTATATGGGATAACTTATCCCATCACTATGGTATAAATGGTGGGATAAGTTATCCCAAACATGGCAACCAAACAAGAAACAATTTTTTTATCCCATCACTATTTATTTTTATCCCTCACACCAAATGACCACTTAGTAGAGCAAGTAAAAGAATTTTACGCCGTAACTTAAATGTTTTATATTATGCTGAAATCATAGTGGATGGTATGTTTCCATGTTTAAATTATTTTTGCTGTCCTATTCTTCCAGATGCTCATTCACCTAGAAAAAAAAAATCATTCTCGTCTTTCTTCTCCTCGAGCATTATTAAGTGTTTTTTCATTATGCCAAAAAGGAAAAGGATTGCAATGAATCAATGCACACCCTAATTGAAGAGCATACAATTTGAAAGCAACATTATTACGTTAACAGAAATAAATAGATAATCGAATAATTTCTGCAGGATGCCCCTGAGTTTTGGATCAATAGACAAGATTATTTAGAAGAGGGAGTTGCATGCCTAAGCAAGTGTGGTCAGGCATGATTTTTACATGTCCATCAATTGTTTAAGCTTTAGCTATCTTTTCAAAGAAAAGCTTGGAAATGTACAGATCAAGACGTGCTGGAAATGACTCTTTAGCATTCTAAAAGAAGCTCTTGTACTGTATTTTGCTAAAAAAATCTCGAAGAGACAGGACGTGTCACACTTGAATGTTTTTACTGCATCTGCGGTTTATCTTAGTCGAGCAGAAATTCTTTAAGGCTTGAATTTGTACAGTCGATATTGAAGTAAAATATTGCTAATTGGAATTGCTTTCCATTCCTACACTTTTGTGAAGTGTTTAAATGTGTGCTGAAACATAAGCAGCTTATTGTGTAATCTGGCGCAGGCAAAAGAGGTTGTGAACTAATTCTCACAAATGTATAACAGCTTGAGCTACATTTTGTTAACTTTCTATCCAGATATTAACTTTATATTCCTTGTCTATCCACCTCCATGGTTGAAAATGGCTTATGCATCTTAAGGTTTGAAATTGTGCTGAAATTGCTGCTTATATCTCATTCATGATATTAGATGGAGTTAAATTGGAAAGTCTCTTGTAACAATGAGTCAAAGGGATCATTATGCCATGCTTAGGCTTGTAATTTTTGTTTTGTGTTATTGCAGATGATCAAGGCATAGTATTATTTTCACTATTTGCATCTCAGTAAAAACTTCCATGTGACAAACTTTTATCTTAATAGCAGCTAGCATCTGAGCTCTGGTGTTTGAATCAAGTGATGAGAGTATAGAGTTGTCATATCAGTAAAAGGTAAAATGAGATTCTTATGTCCAAAGAGCTACACGACACAAATTTGAACCTTGTTTCTTTGTTTTCCATCAAGAACAATTAAGCAGCTAACAACAGTTCCTCTGGTCAAAAACAAAAAGATGAGGACTTGGTGCCTGGTTCTAATACATATCCTTGTATTTAACAACATAGCTTTTGATTACTGGAAATAAAAAGGGACATGAATTATACATATTATATATTCCCTATAAATGGGAATGAGAGAAGACATATAATAAGGAAATAAGATAGTTGGAGTTCTAATTTCCACAGAGAACAACATTTCTCTTAGAAGGTCTGAAATTCAAAGCAGTGAGACTATAGATGCACATGTTTGCTTGTTTAGATTTGATTGTAATCTCATCAGTAGTGGTTCTTGTAGAGCCAGGTACATTACAGAAAGAAGATGAGCTTCCAATAAGGCTAGCCCTGCAGGAATTGCCCACTGCTTTCTCAGCAGCACACTCTATTCCATCCACAGAAGGTATCTCCAACCTGTAAACTCCATATTTGTTAGTAGTTCTGTTCACTGACACTGATACTAGCTCTGCCGTCCTTGTCGCCATTGCCTTGAAGGTGCACTCTATTTTCACTTCTACACCTGTTCAGCCATCAATTCCAATGCATTTACGAAATTAATCAATCCATTCTTTTTTAGTAACCCGGCCAAGTTTGGATTATGACCCATTTGTTGGGTTGAACCCAAATGATTGACCAAACGGGTCAAAATTCAACTCAAACCCGAATATATAAAATTCAAGATTAGGGATATTGTAAATTTGGAAGAAGTTAAAGCATATAGCTTTCAAATTTCTTTTTTAAAAAAAACAAAAAGAGAGAATAGAGTGTATTGATAATGAGTATAAGTGATGACAGAAATGAAAAATGTTAGAGCATGAGTATAAGTTAGAGCTTTGAGCCGTTCAACCTTTTCATTTGCCAACTCCAGTGTATATATAGGATCGGACTATTTTAGATAGCTTTATGCAAAAGATGAAAAATGTTTAATTTGCCCAAAAACTTGTAAGGAAGAGAGAGTAGAGTGTACCTGGCATGAAGTAGCTGTGCCTGGAGAAGGAATTATTGGAGCAAATGTCACAGTAAACCATACCCATGACAGTGATCTGTGGATTAACCACTTTTGCTGCTGACGATAGACTCAACCACAAGAAGCAGCATGAAACCACCAACAGGACAAGTGTAGTAGTAGTCATGGCAAACTGAGCTGAGACTTACAAAAAAGAGTTGAGATGTAAACCAACTACTCATATGTGAATAGCTAGCTAGTAAAGTGATTGATTATATTACACAAAAAGACTAGTTGAAGAATTTTATGTTTAAAAACAAAAGAGGAAGATGTGAGCTAGAGTGTGTGTATGGATAATGAGTATAAGTGATGACAGAAATGAAAAAAAAGAGATCAAAGTTAGAAAGAGGGGACAGGGATCGAACCTTATTGCTAGTCAGAATTCACAAACAAACAAATCATGTGAACTTTCTTTGGAATTTTGTAAGGGTGGATGTGTAGGAAAGAGAGTATAGTGGGAAGTAGACAAATTCATTCATTTACAGAGGAATAAATAGACCTCCCTTTTCATACATGTTTGTTTGTTGTAATTTATGGTGGCCTTGCTTCTTAACGTGATACTACTTTATATCTAGTATAAATAAATTACTGCTACAGTACTATTTATCATTTGACCTAACCCCAATAGGAGCCAGTCACGGACTTGCCACTCTCCCCATATCTGTTATAAATTTGGTCTGGCCACAGAGAAGGATTGTTGCTACTGAGAATCATGTGATATATCATAGAGGCAAAGAATTCAGCCAACCACATTTATTGTAAGTTCATTTCTCATTCTCTTTTTCATTTTGTGGATACATTCTTCTACTTCCATCAATCATAATTTCCTGAGATTATAAAGGTGTCAAATCGTGTTTCTTATGAATTACAATGTTACAAGCAATAGCGCACTGAGAGAGAGTATCATACATCACTTACAAGTTTAACATCAAGTGAGTTAAGTCATATATAGCCTGATCTTTTTTTAAAAAAAATTGTTCAAGGTCGGTCACATGTATAGCCTGAACTTCATACAAAAATGACTAAACTTCAGCTATATACGGTCTAACCATCATCCAAAATGGTTGAAGTTGTTTCCTTCTAAATTGTCTGAAATTAGGCTTTGATAAACTAAATTCCAGACACATATTACTTCAAAATCGTGCACTTAAAATTTAATTTAAAAGCAGCTAAACTTGCAAAAAGTTTAGGGCTTCCGTTTATGACTTAAATGGGGCTATTGAAATCGGTTGTATATGCACTTCGTAGTCCACTCCCACATGCCAGCCTAATGTAAGACTACGTTATTGGGCTTAGTTAAAACTGGAATTATCGGTTAGATTGAATTTAGTAAGTGGATTACCCAACTAATAAATATGGATTGGGTCATAACTCAACTCGTCCAACTATAACCAAAAATAAAAATTACTCTTGGTTTGTTTGCTTATAATTTGTTCATTTACCAAACAAAACTAACAAAGTTTTTATTCTTTACTATATATGACTCTATAAAACAAAAAGAAATCTATCAATTTGAATTACATATTTAGCAAAAATCAACCCGAGTTTTAATTTAGAGGCTGAATTAGCTAATAAATAAATAGATTGGACAAATCATATTACCACCCAAAATAGAGGGAAGAAAAGTAGTTATTTTGTGGACCATCTCACGTGGGTTGGAACATAATTGAAGGGAAAAACATCTTTATGTGTGTGTAGGTTATATTTCGACGTTTGGTCTTGAACCGTTGACGTAGAAGAATGTTAAACTTGAATTTGTCAAAAGTTATACAACGCAAGAGGGTAGGCGAAATACATGAGTAACAGCGTAGCAGCTGCATTCATTTTTTTTGTTAATTTTCCCTAAAAAGTTGATCAGTCTACTAATAGCTTACAAAGACTAGTATTTTAGTAGTAAAAAACAGGCGGCACAGAAAAGAAGGGACTAATATAATTCAACAAGAAGGAATTGAAGATGCATGCATGTGCCAATGTATGGCGAGATCACTCTTTTTGAAACGTGAAATATGTACTATTATTGTTGCCTAATTAATGTATGCTACATTTCATTCACAATATATTCCACTTTATACTTGTACACTATTCCGACTCACTTCCTACTTCATTAGGCTATATATAAATCATGGCTGAACTAGTTATTTAAATGTTAATTACTAAAAACTTTTATTCATCTCCTCCAAAACTTGTAAAATCATTATTTCTTCCAACATCTCATAAATAACTAACTATGCTTACTTCCAATTATTTTTAGTATTTCTTTTCTTTTTTTTGGGATGCATCATGCATGTTCATGTGATGAATGAAATGAATTTCACTGCACATTATAATAATTTAATCAATTTTCCGCTAGCCCTAATTTAACAGAATGAAGGTGGAACCATGGTCCACATAAATCATATTTCAGGTACAATAAATTAATAACTAGCATACAATTGTTCATTATAAATGTATCCAAAAAGAGAAAAAAAGGAAAAAGTCAGAAATGTGGATTTTCCATTTGTATGTTAGCATACCCAACAACAGACAAAATCTATGATAACTGTATATTATACATCTGCAAAAATACAATTATTAATCTTCCTTTTTTCTCTTTGCAGATGAACAAATATTCAATTGAAATCCTGTAAATTAGTTGTGTGTACATATATCATTCATTTACTCATGTTGTTTCACTCAAGTGCTGATTGATACTAGTGTTTTTTAATCTTCTGTATATCACAAAATCGTAGTCTACTTCTTTTACTAAAAACAACAAAGTAGTAAAACATTTTATAGAATTCAAAAAGTTGATAAGTATTCTTACTTTTTTTTCTTAACACAGTTTATACGATTTTTTTACTATATATACAACTCTATTCATATACTAAAGTTTCTCTATGGTCTTGGATTGTATTTTTTCTTCTCCTTTCTGGCATTTTTCTCTCCATTTCATATATAATTATAACATAATAATCTACTTTAAAGTATTTTTCATTTTTCTTAATTATTTTATTTAAAATGTCACTCCATAGTAGCTCATACCTCTTATTTTCATAACTTCTACTCTTAATAATCTTCATTACTTCTATATCTTTTCAAGTCCATAACTCCCAAATAATATGTTACTTATAAATTTTGACATCTATCATAATTTTCTGATTGTGAATTTTTATTTGGTCATAGGTGAAAAATGGTAAATGCATATTAAACATTGGACCTTTATGTTTTTATTATTATGATTAAAAAAGCAAATCAGTTGAATTTGTTTCCAAGTTGAAATGAAACATTGATAGAATAACAAAATAGTATTCAATACACTGCATAACTGAATTTAAAGTTAGGTGAAGTGCATTATATATAAGAAGTTGAGAGCGTGCAAAAATTGATGAACATGTTTGTGTGTATGTGTATATAATACTAATAAAAATTTTTGGTATAATTGGACTTTGATTTCTCTATGTTGTTTGGTCCTTGGTGTATTCGTTGTTTTTTGTCTAATTCACATATGATTATTTTCTTTTATAAATATTAGTACTATTACTATTCAAGTAATCCATTTCCTATGATTGCGTGAAGCGTCGTA